GCGGGTCACTCACTGACTCTCACTGCTAATAGGTCTATCAAGGTTAAAAAAATAATTCTGAAATCATGATTTTAAATTTGTCATTTTAACAGAGACAACAGGGAGGCTCTTCAGTATTTGAAGAATTTCAGGCCTCAAAATGAGGAGGCAACTCACATCAGAGTCCTGCTGTACGGCCCAGTCGGTGCGGGGAAGTCCAGCTTGATCAACTCCGTCAACAACGTCCTGCAGGGCAGAATGACCCATGAAGCTCTGGCCAGTTCCACAAACTCTGGTCAAACTTTCACCAAGATTGTGAATATAATTTCTTGTTTAATTTTGAAGGCTTTTTTAGATTTTTAGACTACAAGATTTATCAAATCAGTCTTTTTAAGTGGTTCTTTGCAGCTTTATAAATATTCCCAGCAACATGGCCAAAAATACACATTTTCTGACACTGAGTGGCTACAAACACGTAACCACTGACTATAGTACTGTCTTATCCAGAATTTTATTCAGCAAAAATACAATTAGGTTGAAAATTAAAGTTATTAAAATTTTTTGAAGCAGGTTTGTAGATCTTGAATTTAAAATATATTTTTGCGGTTGTATGCCTGCTGTTTACATAAAAGTTTTTTTTTTTTCTGCAGTACAAAACCTATAAAATCAAGAAAGAAGGCAGAGGGAACTTTTATCCGTTCGTGTTCAATGACATCATGGGTCTGGAGGACGGAGATGGAAGAGGAGTCAGAACAGACGACATCAAACTGGCCTTGAAGGGACATGTGAAGGATGAATATAAGGTATAAATATATACTTTTCTGCTTTAAAAAAGTCCTTCTCTTAAAGGCATAATTTGTTTGCTTTCTGTGGAAAATAAATGACTGAATATACATCATATTATTTCCTCAGTTCAATCCTGTATCTCCTCTTTCTGATGGTGATCCTGGCTACATCTCTTCTCCGTCCATCAGTGACAGAGTTCATGTTCTGGTCTGCATCTATGACGCTAATGCACCAGAAATGAAGCAGGATGTTTTAAAGAAGATGAAGGAAATCAGAGAAGCAGCCAGTGATCTGGGTAAGAAATATTAAATCTGCTTTTAGAATATTATTTTACTGTAAATGGAACTTTGTTTTTACTTTTTTATGTCATCATAAATGTTTCATCACACTCCTGTGATAGTTATTTAAATATATTGTTTAAATACATTTGGAGTTTCTTGAGTAACTCCATGCTTAGAGTCTGTATCTCTGTATCTACAGGAATCCCTCAGCTTGCGATTCTCAGCCACGTTGATGAAGTCTGTCGTGACACAGAAAGAAATCTGAAAAATGTCTACAAGAGCAAACATTTAAAGAAAAAGGTGAGTCAAGGAAAGATTTATTCTAAACGGGACAACCCCCTAAAAATGTACAAAAAATAAAACAATTATTGTGTTTTATGTAGATGGGTGACTTCAGCTCCAGCCTGGGGATCCCAATGAACTGCATCCTCCCAGTGAAGAACTACAGTCATGAAACTCA